ACCCACGACCATGGAGATATAAACAGGTTTTTATAAGGTAAAAATAATAAAACAAGGTCTTTGTCTGCAATGATTAGACATGTTTTTTTATTATTGTCGTTAGTGATTATCTCAATTTCGGCTAAAAGACTTGACAAAATCCTACACACTGTGCCTTTAACATTTGACCTGAAGGATTAAAACTCCTGGGAATTTTTCAGTATAAGATGATCTTTAGATTAGTGGTGTAAAATTTGGTGGGCGATGCGCATTCCTTGGTCCAACATAATTTGGGTGTCTCAAGCTGTCACACCTGTGACTCAGCCCCAGATATTATGTTCTTGAATGCACTGGTGTTTGCCTTTCAGTGGGTTTCATTTGTGATGAAAGCCATATTAATAAGAAAAACTCTCAAATATTTCTTGGGTTTACTATAAAATATTTGCACAGTTATATCTTTAAACATAAATTGCAATTTGTTTTAGTTTACAACTTGTCCACACGGTACCAATTTTTCCCCAAAAAACAATTTTTTTTCTACGAATTTCCTTGTAAACGTGGCACTGTTTCCACAAATGTTTTCATCCACACTAAAACATGAGAAGTAACGGTGCCAGGCCTGTGCGTGGTGCTGCAACGCAAAATCTACAAAAACACACAAAAAACAGGAAACAAGGGGTGGAGGGTTTTTCTTCTAACACAAGCATCAATATTTGAAAACTAATTCCATTTGTCTCATTTTTAAGGGTGTTTATTTTAGTCTTTGTTGACCATCCAAGAAAAAGATCAAAAACTCTTTAGCTCTTTGATTATTTGGTGTAATGACAGTCATTTCACACGAGTTATGCTTACTTCTTGTTACAGATTTGAGTGTGATCCTCTGTAAAACCGTCCTGTCAGAATCTGAGGCTTACCGTAGTTTTTACTTTCCACACTGAACCAAAGCTAACCTCTGTCGGACACAGAAACGGAGCTAAAGCAGCACAGGAAGCCCATTAGTTGTGTAATGTCACTCCTGTGGGCATCGAGCACCCAACAGGAATATGAATCCGTTTTCACAAGACAGTCTGTACTTCACCGAGCCGTCACCGTGCTCCCTCTGACTTTCACAGGTCGGCCGCCRGCTAATGGCACCTGGCGAGGGGTAAGGCTCAAAACAGAGAGGGCAGAAAGAAAAATCAAAAGAAATGAAGCAGGGGGAGAGAAACTTGAGCTGGCCACTAACTCAATCAAAGGCGAGAGAAGTCAATTTAGTTCCTCTGCAGAGGGCAGATTGCAGCAGTTAGCWGCTCTGTGGCAGCAGCCAGAAAACTCTCTTTTTTCCGGGGGGTGGGGTGATAAGAAAGGAGATACGGGCCTCCCGGAGCAGATCAGAACATCGCTCACTGCAAGGGCAGATGGGCGTGAGGGAGACGGCAAATGGCTCTAAAGTAGTTCCTATCACTTGATTAGAAKAAAAAGTGACTCAGATAAGGCTGCGATGTGAGATAAGAGCAAAAAAAAACAAGTTTTCTGTGACGAAGTAATGTGGTTGATGATAGAGCTTGAGAGTACAGAAGCTCCACTCAGTCTCTTATGGTCCAAATGTAATGGATCCTCTTGGAGAACTGAAGACATTATAGTTGTATTAATGAAGGCGAGGTCAGAGGAATCCAGCCAGACTGCAGGAAATTATGGCAAATGTAGAAAAACAACTCAAAAAGGAGAAGAGCGCTGCTTTGAAACACCACGGCTCGTGTTCAGCGAGTCAGATGGTGAATAGTTGATGAGCTGCCGTCCATTTCCACAGGCGTGGATTCAGATCCGGTTCAGGCCGAGAACATATCTTTTGCTTTAATATAAAGTACAGTTTACTGAATTATGCACAGTACTAATCAAAACCTGCTGCACGTTTGCAAAAACGTTGCCCAGTGGGTTGCATTTGGAGTTTATGTGACCCACATTATTAAAAGCAGTCATGAGGAATTTATT